AAAAGACGAAATTGGCCCATTCACAACAATGTGGATGGACCTCGAGGGTATTATGTTAAGCGAAATAAGTCAGTCAGAGAAAGACGAACTCTATATGACTCCACTCATAGGTGGAAATTAGTATATTGAGAAGGAGATCTGATTGGTGGTTACCAGGGAAAAGGGGGGGTGGGGGGAGGGTACGGAGGGGGAAGTGGTGTACCCACAACATGACTAACAAAAATGTACAACTGAAATCTCACAAGGTTGTAATCTATCATAACATTAATAAAAAAAAAAAAAAAAAAAAAAAAAGTTAAAAAAAAAAAAAAAAAAAAAAATGTACATAGCTATCCTCCATTTATCAAATGGGCACTTGATACCCAGGTTGCAAACAACTCTAAACATAGTCTGTTCCAACCTAGACACTCCAGTAAATGTTCTGGTTTTCATGAGAACTCTGAAAATACATTCCCTGTCTCCCCCAAGTGAGCTGTGATTTTAAGGAACTACCTGGGCTTAGGCTAGTTGTTGCAGACATCCAGTTCCCCTTTTTGATGGGTCTCAGATACCCATATACAACAAACATTTTAGGTTTATGAATTAGCAGGTTTTCTCAGTACGACAGGCTGTTTTTCACATATTTTAAAAGAGAATTTGGAGTCTCTGCATTTTTCAAGGCCAATGCCTAGTTTGAAACTTAACTATTATCTCCTTTACTCTCTAATTTTTTACCTCTGACTTACAGACAGACAATCCATTGGTGATAGAAGTTGATGATTTCCACACAGGAAGTGATATACACAGCCTTCCTGAAGATCTATATCACTTAGATATTCTTATGGAAGAAGGAACAAGTAATATTCTCTTCTCCATTGGAAGACGGCAATTCTATTGCTGATGTCAATTATACAGGCACCCAGCAGTAGAAGTGCTTCAGCATAATTCCTTGAAGATAGGGTCTTGGCTATTACAAAAGGCATAAGGTCAAATGAACCAAAGGGTCAGTAAAGCTGGCAGGAGAGGAGTGGATTCAGTACAGAAGATACAGAATAATCAATGATCTCGGAGATTTCAGACAAATCAGATTTTCTATTGAAGGCAGAGATATAAATAGTACAAACACAACACAGACGTAGAAACAAAAGCCACCAACTCAACTTCTTGTTTGAAAACTTGTTAGGTCTAGAGAACTGTTCAAACCACAGCTGCTAATGGTTATGGATTTGGCAATCAAAATGTCTTTGTTAAAAAAAAGTTTTAACTGCCTTACTATTGAGGTTACAAACCACAGCCTTGATGCATCATTGCAGTCAACATTCCCCCCGCTGTTTTTGAGAGCTTACATCTGCTGCTGGCAGATAAAATGCTGGCAAACGGCATGGGCTTCTTCCAGAGGAATACAGGGGAAGTTTTAACTAGATGGCTCTCATCTTCTTTTCTCTCCTGAGTTACGCCCACAGCCTTTTCTGTACCACTCCTATCTTGTCCAGGTTGATCCCTTGCCATCACTCAGGAGGGTTGAGGGTCTAGTGGGATTTTTTCTGGCAAAATTAGCCATGCCACCCATACTACTCTTAGAAGATAAAAGGAAGATGAGTTCTTAGCTCAGGGGAAAGCATTTAAAGGACATACTTTTAAAGCCACTTACAGTGTAGTGCACTTGATTTTAAACAACCACTAATAAAACCTTTCCAGTTATTTTTTTAAAGGAACTAAATGATCACACTATGCCAAAAATAATGAGGACTTAGTATATTTTAACTCATCAAAGAAAGGCCAAGAATGCGAGGTCAGGAAATAAATTACTGAGTTTCTTCAGGGAAGGAAAAAGTTAGGGACAAGATGGAGAAGTAAAATGTGGTCCAAGTCACATGGGAGATTAGTTTCAGTTGAAATAAAAATTGCTAGATTCACACTGGTTTTCAAAGAATATACAATTCATCTGGGTGATGAGAAATGAGTATGGAAATGCATAAAGAAGACGTATGTCAGGAAACTGAACCCTGGATGGTTCTCCCTCAGTGATCTGGCCTATGAGGATAAAAGAAAACCAAGCATACCAAGATTAGCACTCCCTAAACTGTATATACCACAAAATACCAGTTCTATAGTATATAAGTAGGAAGTGGAAGGGGGGGTGCATTTTATAGTCAAAAAGTTTTGTGAACACTGCATGTTGTACCCACCAGATATATGAGGGAGTTATATCAGAGAGTCATAATCCACACTAACATATTAGAGGTCCTGAGAAGATCTGTAGTAAACAAACAAGTTTGTTTAATCCAAATACATTTTCCAAATGTATGTGTCCATAGAACTCCCCCCGCCCTTTTTTTCCCCAGAGAACTCCTATGCTATGGAACAGTTCGGGAAATGCTAGTCCTAAATTCCTAAATTTTCAACTCATTCTTGCAGAAACAAAAATAAGGTTGGTAAAACAGTCTAGGCAATCACATTTCTTACATCACAGAATCCTAGTTCAAACAGAGACAGGTAGATTACCAAGGATGCTTGAGACATTTTCTAAAAGGCAGCCAAATAACAAAGCTACATCTTTTAAAAGTGACAAGATCCTTACCCAATAAATAATCCCCAAATAGGGCTAATGTCAATTCTAATACATTCATGTGCTACCCTCAAACACAGAAAAGACAATGGGGAAAAGCTGACAATAGGGAAAATGGGGATGGGATGGCTGAGTTTGGTGAAGCCTAGTGGCTTCTGGCATTTGGAGATATTCTGTCATACATCAGGGAAATTCATAAGGAGAGTTGCCAGGACTTCCAGCTGGGAGCATATGGGAGGACTCCTACACTTTGGTGCGGTGCCCTCAGCTCCTTAGGATAAAAGACAGAATATAAGCTCAAGGAGGAGTATCATGCTGACCCCAAAGAGAGGTATCCCTGAGAAACCAGAAAGATTTGTTTTGTTAGTTAGATTTCTAATTCCCTTAACTCTTGTGGTATTCCACAGACTAGGATTACAGTTTTCTACACTTCTCTATACAAATTTTTGGCAGAAAAAGATTGGCTAACTGTCTAAGGACTGAAATTATTTGACCTTGTATCAGGTGGTGGTTTGCTTGATTTACCAATGAGAAAGTAAAGAAGAGGCCCCTTGCCAAAAACCACCACCCACACTGCCAGATGCTCCTGGGTTCTCTTTCCGAATGCAAATATCCTAAGAAGAAAATATAACACATTAAATTATACTAACGTGTTAATGACTGTGAGAGTCTCTAAAACTGTAAAGTCTGCACCGGTGCAAGGAATTTTTTTTTTTTTCCAAAGACTGGCACCTGAACTAACGACTGTTGCGAATCTTTTTTTTTTTTTTTTCTGCTTTTTCTCCCTCAATCCCCCCAGTACATAGTTGTATATTTTAGTTGTGGGTCCTTCTAGTTGTGGCATATAGGGATGCCGCCTCAACATGGCCTGATGAGCGGAGCCATGTCTGCGCCCAGGATCCGAACCAGCGAAACCCTGGGCCGCCGAAGCAGAGCATGTGAACTTTAACCACTGGGCCACGGGGCCAGGCCCTGTAAGGAATATTTATAATTATTACTTCTAGACTTAAAGAAATGGAGAAGAGGAGAGGAAAGACACTGGAAAAATAAGCAAAAAGCCCATACAAGGATTAAACAAGGGGTGGAAAACAAAGGGCCTCCACGTGTCTATGGTTTTGCCTATGTGTGGATCAGGTACTAAGGGCAAAACAAAAGGCTAGGAGTCAAAATTCATGCCAAAATGCATGCAGTGTAAGCATATACATAAAGTAATCAGAGAAGGCAATCCACAAGGTAATGAAAGATAGAAAACTAGAGGGATAATAACTATTGGCTAAAATCTGTGAGAAAAGGAGAAGGTGAGATAGATACGATTAGTTTTTTTAAAAAGCAGACTAACAACAGTAATGAAAGGCAAGTAAGTCTGGAAAACAAAAAATTTACTGAGAAAAATAAGCTGAAGAACATTTTCTTAAGCACAGCAGTAAAAGCCCTATTACCTAAAGTAACTGTTCAAAGAAGAGGAAAATCATACTGTCAGGTAAGATTCTTCATGCTTCAAAGATGGACTTTCCCATTTTGGATTTCTGCTAGTGTGAGTCTAAACACAGGGCTCTAAATTTCAAGGGTTTTCCAATCAAGCTAAAATGCTTTGGCTCCCTCTGCTGTTCAAAAATGTACTTTAGTTATGTCAGTTGAATCTTTAGTGATGAAAATAAATAAAAACACATACATATGTACATACAAACATTCACACACCCCTCCCAAACCTGGCATAGTCCAGGCAATCAGAGTTCAAACACATTTGCCTGTCATAAATTCCCCAGCCTGGACCAAATGTTCCCAAATAAGTGATAACAAACCCTACCAGCCCCACGACCTTATTGAAATAATTCAAGGGATCGTGGAGGGTTTCTTCACCAAAAGCAGCAAAGTTGGTTGGTTTTTTGTTGTTGTTGTTGTTTTGGTGAGGAAGATTGGCCCTGAGCTAATATCTGTTGCCAATTTTCCTTTTTTTTTCCCCTCCCCAAAGCCCCAGTACATAGTTGTACATCCTAGCTGTATGCCTTTCTAGTTCTTCTAGGTGGGATGCTACCTCAGCATGGCTTGACAAGCAGTGCTAGGTCCACACCCAGGATCTGCACCAGTGAACCCAGGGCCACTGAAGCAGAATGTGTGAACTTGACCGCTATGCCACGGGGCCAGCCCCGCAAAGTTTTATTAAGGGATGAGGACCCTACACTTGTTAGCTGGATTGTGGCAATAGCTTTTTATGTAGAAATGTGTATGTACCAGTCCTCCATATACCAGAAACCAAAGCATCACTAAGTTTTCACTGCTTCTGCCCTGGTCTTTTCTCTCCCCAATATTTCCTTATCAAAAGACTCTTCTCACATGTCTAAATTCAGTTGCTAACACCTTACTATCTCCAGGATGTTCTGTATTGAAGGATCTACAGGTCAGCTATGGTGGCAAATCGAGCATCTGTCCAAGATAAGTGTTCTTTACTCACCTGATCCTTAAATTGCTTCTGGGACAAGCAGTCAGTTAGGTCCACACAGCCCAGAAGACAACCTGACGGATAGTCGTTGGGAAATTCCACATCTGAATCAAAAATAACAGAAGGATTAGATAAATTTCCTTCTCTGTGACCCTGGAACTCATGAATTCGTTTTCAATTCTCAACAAATCACTTTATCTTCTATTTGTAGATATAAGGAATACAATGAGGTTTTTATTTGGCACAACTGTTTGTATTTTGGCAAAAAAGTTAGTGAGTGACTGGCTTAGTCCACTATCCACCCCCTAAGCGATAGGAAAACTACCCTCTCACTATTGAAGTTCAAGGACCCCACAACTTCACGCCAAACAAATGTATTCCACTATACTCAACTGGATCAGACTGGAGTTTGGTGGTGACGGCTTCTAGAAACAAGCCACAGGTGTAAAGAGAAAAACCATAAAAATGTAGCAAAAGCCATAAGAATGTCAGAACACAAATTTAAAACAAGCCAGTCATATCAGTCAAAACAGAAATGCGTTTTTAAGGAAACATGCACTTTTGATTCCTAAAATTTGGCCTCTTAAAGACTTTTAAAGGGGCTGGCCTGGTGGCATAGCGGTTAAGTTTGCACATTCCGCTTTGGCAGCCCGGGGTCCACCGGTTCAGATCCCAGGTGTGGACTTAGACACGACTTGTGAAGCCATGCTGTGGCAGGCGTCCCACATAAAATAGAGGAAGATGGGCACGGATGTTAGCTCAGGGCCAGTCTTCCCCAGCAAAAAGAGGAGGATTGGCGGCAGATGTAAGCTCAGGGCTAATCTTCCTCAAAAAAAAAAAATATATTTAAAAAAATAGAAAAAAAACCCTTTTAAAGGTGGCTCTGTAATTGTCCTCTCATTCTACCTTCAAAACAACTGTATGAGCTGGATAAAAGGAAAGGAAAACAAGACACCCAAGTGTCAGAAGTGGTTTTTAGTATACAAATTTATTGTGTTTGGGGTTATTCCCAACATACACTGCTTCAGTGTATCACCCCGATCTGTCCAAATCCAACAGCAGATGTCTATTTGGGTCACTCCTGATAAAAAAGTTTTATTTGTAATTGTTCTTCCCAATCTAAAGGTCTCAGACTTTATAGCAGTCATTTTATTCTCATAGTAAAAAAAAAAAAAAACTGGAGAAAATTTTCTGAGATAAAATTAAGACTAGTTGGTTGATTTCTGGTGTTGGGAACTGGTATTTTTAATTGCACTGTTTGGTGAATTAATGTTTAGAACAGCTGTCTATGATTTGCCACTAAACAAACAAACAAAAAGTTTAAAGTCCATTTCAGCCAAAAATAGCCATAAGAAGGAGGAAGTGAAAGACGCTCAAGGTCAACGACTTCTCTCCACAAAATAAGACTAAAAGGAGAATACATGTTTGTTACCTTTCCCACGAAGAAGACGATATGTAGTCTGGAGTTCTGAGACTTCTTGAGGGGAAGGTCTTTTGGCTGTGGCTGCTATCCAAAGTCGTCCTCTGTGAGGGGTGTACCAGCTTCTCCCCTCCACCCTTAAGTGAACACAAATTTAGGATCTAAATTCTAGTGTCCTGGAGGATCTCCTAACACAGCAAACTATCCAGTTGAAACAAGAGATCTATAGATAATACCTCACCAAGAGGGGTATTTTTTGTGAAAAACATCTCTTTCACAATACCCTTGAGTATGGATCCTGTTCTCTAGTTTTTATCATCATCAGAACAAAGACAATTCATCTCCCTCAGCTCCTATATTTCACCTGATCTCTATAACTCAGTCTTGGAGTTTTCACTAGCCTTGGGACTTCTACAATCCAAATCTTATATTTTCAAGGCCTCCAAGTTGTCCTACAAAAATGGAAATCCTTGCTTTTCTTTGAATCAAAGGTTAACCTTTTCCTCAAAGATTTGTTAGTTAATTGTTCTCCAACCTGACAGAAAAATCCTCACCCACACATAACTTCCCAAGAATAGCAATTTTTTAATTTTTATTTAATATAATTTAAGTAAATAAAAATGCTTATCATCTTTACTGTTTAAATTGCAACCACGTTCATTTATAATTTCTAAGTAGTTTATAAAGGGTTATGTTCTTTGCAGATAAGTAAACAACTTATTGGCTAGTTTAAAAGAATCCTTAAGAGGAACAACAAAATGCATCTAAGAGAATTTAATTACTCGCTACTCTCTAAGGATTACAAAAAGATGTTTCTCTTTTAGTTCCCACCAAATGAAATAAAGTACCTTGATAATACACCCCTATTATACTATTCTTATAATGGGAAATAGGGAATTTCTCACATCCTCAGTCCCAATATAGATGAATCGGAAGGATGCCAGGCAGATAGTAGGTGCTCGATAAATGAGGAACGCATCAATATATTTCTTCCCTCTACACCAAATAACCTGAAGGGCTACTGGGAAAATGGTCTCACAAATGTCGCAGAACCACCCACTTTATTTCTGTGGGATTAATAATTGTGGGCTTGATGCTGCTCATCCTGTTCTTTTCAGTGAGAAAATCTGAATAGCACAGATCCAAAACAGGATGAAAGAAATGTAAACATTCTGATTCCCTCAGCAAAAGCAAGCTGTTCAGTTTTCTACTTTGGAAAAGGAAAACAGCTAAATTGCAGAGAGTTGAATGAGAAGAATAAACATCTCAGAGGCTACTTGTCCTGGAGCAGCAGCAAATTCACATGCACTTGTTCTAATGGCACTACGCACACAGACTATGAAACAATGAGGAGCCAAAGCAAAAAGCCTGACCTTCAAAAGGGGAGAAAAACAGTAATGCACGTTTAATGAAGAAGGGAAATCACAGCCAATCACAAAAACACCAAAGTAGAAATAATTTTTCCTGGGGCTGGTCCATTGGTGTAGTGGTTAAGTTTACACACTCCACTTCAGAGGCCCGGGGTTTGTGCGTTCAGATCCAGGGCACGGACCCACACATCACTTATCAGGCCATGCTGTGGTGGCAACTCACATACAAAATAGAGGAAGACTGGCACAGATGTTAGCTCAGGGACCATCTTCCTCAAGCAAAAAGGGGAAGACTGGCAACAGATGTTAGCTCAGGGACAATCTTCCTCACAAAAAGAAAAAAGAAAAAAGAAAAAAAGAAATGATTGTTCCTAAATGCTGATAATAAATTTTCCTTCAGGAAACCAGAGACCAGTGAAGTTTATACTTTATACAGTAAAAGTGGAAAGAGTCAGATAGAGAAAGACAAATTCTGTATGATCTCACTTATATGTGGAATCTGAAAAAACCAAACTCACAGATAGAGAGAACAAAATGGGGGTGCCAGAGGGAAACAGGTGAAGGCAGTTAAAAGGTACAAACTTCTGGTTATAAGATAAATAAGTCCTGGTGATGTAATGTACAGCATGGTGACTACAGTTAACAATACTGCATTGTTTATTTGAAAGTTGCTAAGAGAGATCTTAAAAGTTCTCAGCACAAGAAACAAAAAATTCATTACTAGGTGGGGTGATGGATGTTAACTAATTTTATTGTGGAAACCATTTTGCAATATAGACATATAAATAAAATCATTATGTTGTACAACTTTAATGCAACATTATGTCAATTAAATCTCAAAAAGATGGAAAAAAGGAAAAATGAATGTTATAATGATAAGTTAAAGAAGAAAAACACAAACATAAACATATACTATGATCTCACTATATAACAATTTGCACAAGAAAAAGAATATAAATAAACACTCCAAAATGCCAACAGTAGCTATTTCTAGGTGGTGGGATTTTTCTAGCTACTTTTCCATATTTTCCAATTTTATATTTACATTTATGTAAGCAAAGAAAAAATATTTTTAAAAATTGAATTGAGAAGAAACATAAGAAACCATGGAATAGTAACCTATTACCATCACTAATAGGTACAAGGACTCAACTCTACGATACTTCTACTTATCTCTTACTACTTCCCCCGACTTCCTGTAGAAAAGGAATTTATGGTAAAATAGTTTCTCAATATGGTTACTCAGATTAACAGACAGATATATAGATAGAAAAACAAAACCAAAGTTAGGCTTGTGTCTTAAAAAATTAATAAATAGGCATAAAAATTTGAACTCCAAATAGGATCAAACTATTAAGGTTGCTTTGTGCTACACGATAAAGGCAAAGGCAAGAGAAGTTTTGTCAATAGACTTCCTTCCAAAGATGAAAAAATTGGTATTCTATTCTTTGTTATGACAAGGATCCGTAGCCTTTCTTTTTTTTTTTTATGATTTTATTTTTTTCCTTTTTCTCCCCAAAGTCCCCAGGTACACAGTTGTGTATTTTTAGTTGTAGGCCCTTCCAGTTGTGGCATGTGCGACGCCACCTCAGCATGGCCTGATGAGCGGGCCCATGTCCGCACCAAGGATTCAAACCGGCAAAATCCCAGGCCACCAAAGCAGAGTGTGCAAACTTAACCGCTTGGCCACAGGGCTGGCCCAGGATACTTACTCTTTCTAACGTCAGATTTTTTTTAAGCTATGCAGTAAAAACTCAATTACCAAGTCAGTAACATGAATATATTACTTAAAGTTCTATGTACTGAAGTATTATAAATCATCACCAGATTAGGAAAAACGAATTCCAATCCATAATTCTAAATCACGTTTATGTTACTGTAAAATCTTCCACTGCCAGGATTCATTTCTACCCTTACCTTTTAATCCCTCTGACAAGCAGAGAAGCCCAGGGCTGATGCATAGAGAGGCACCAGCCACCATCAAAGCCTTCCTGAAATTCTTGGTCCTGGATTCGCAACTGGTGGCAATATGAGTTGAACGCTAGCTCCGATCCTGCTGAATGGAAAGCCTTCTTCTGTGAGGCTGCACCTGTCTGGTCTATCCACTATATGGGAAAGAAATCAAACATACAGTTCTATCTGACAAGGTAAGAAGCTGGGGTAGATACACAAAATGAGATGAATGCTAATAATGAATAAATCATACTGGGAACATTTTCTTAGAAATATTTAATCCCATCTTTGTCTGAAACAAGGCCAAAAGAGGTGGAGAAGGTGTAAATTCAGTAGAAGTCTCAGGTATGATAACAAGATCCCATCTTAAAGGGTAATTAGAGTGTTGAAATCTCTATACACAGCTTCCCAATTCCAGCAACAGCACAACTACCAGACCAAATAATTGGTCTGTAATTATTTCCACTTTATACTTCTTAATGATTCATACTGGATTCTGGACAATTTCCCAACATAATCCTACTAGCCAAATGAGGGTTCAACATTTTGGTCCACACATTCTTCATGTGCTTAGGGTAAGAGTCACATGCTGGTACCCATGACAAAGTGAAACAGATGCTGTCAGGGACAGGAGTTCTGACTATTGGATGCATAAAGCGTTCTCTTACCCTGAAATGAACAACTTGTCTCCTAAAAGAGAGGATGGAGCACCACTGAAAGAAGACTCCCATCATATAAAGAGAATAGAAAATTACAAGGTACAGGTAATTACAGAAGACTGTAGAGTCCTGGCAGTAGTTCAGTCAGAGGATGACAAGGTTAATGTTCCTTTCAGAGCAAGAAGACTCAGTGCTCCAAAATTAAGTTTTAAAAAAAGAGTCTTTATTAGAATGGTGAGGTTTGGGGTTAGTTGTCTTAATTTCTTGACTTTTTATTTAATAATTTATAGAGAAAAAAACCTACTAGAGTGGTAGTCTGGAGACTTTAAGCAATCATTTAACCCCTAAAGGTTTCAGTTTTCTCAACTGTAAAATGATGAGAGTGGGCTAAATGAATCTCTAAGAATCTTTCTATAACAAAATTTTATGATTCTGATCAATTATGTCATATCTTAGAAAAAAAACACAGAGCCAGCCCTGATGGCCTAGTGGTTAAAGTTTGGCCTATTCCAATTCAGTGGCCCAGGTTCGGTTCCTGGACAAAGAACCACACCACTTGTCTATCAGTAGCCATGCTATGGCTCACAAAGAAGAACTAGAAGGACTTAGAAGAAGAATATTCAACTATGTACTGGGGCTTCGGGGAGGGGGAAAAAAAAGAGAGAGGAAGATTGGCAAGAGATGTTAGCTGAGGGCAAATCTTTCCCAGCAAAAAGAAAAAACAAAAGAAATACCCACAAACATTTATTGAGTATTAACCATGTGAAAAGCAGGGAGACTTACATAAAACATAAAAAAGATATTGTTCTTACTTTCAAGGTACTTACAATCCTAGTACAAGACAGACACATAAGTAACTATCCAAAACATAAGGTAGAATTGAGGAAATACTACCCAGGGATATAAGTCCTTATGTGGGAACACAGAGAGAGAACTGATCCATTAGAGGGGGAAATAGGCGATTTCATTAAAATGTTGGTATTTGAGGGGCCGGCCCGGTGGCGCAGCAGTTAAGTGCACATGTTCTGCTTCAGCGGCCTGGGGTTCGCTGGTTTGACTCCTGGGTGAGGACATGGCACCACTTGGGAAGCCATGCTGTGGTAGGCGTCCCACATATAAAATAGAGAAAGATGGGCATGGATGTTGGCTGAGAGCCAGTCTTCCTCAGCAATAAAAAGAGAAGGATTGGCAGATGTTAGCTCAGGGCTAGTCTTTTTCAAAAAAAAAAGGTTGGTATTTGAACAATCCTGAGGCCCAAAGTCTCTGTTCTTTCTTTACTACAGTTCTTGTTTATCTTACCTGTTTCTCTATTCCCACATCTACTTTCCTAAATTAATCTCTTATTATCTTTCAATAATACTATTATAGAGTGTGCTAACTGGTTTCCTCATCTACATTTTTAGCCTTTAAATAACTCCTTACTGCCCTACTAAAGCTACAATACTATTTTGGCCCCTCATCATCTCCCCATTGTGCTACTGCAATAAGCTTCTTAGCAATTTCCCTGCTTCTAGTCTTACCCCTCCCTCCAATTCATTGTCTACATAGGCATGGAAGTTATGCCAATCTTCTGCTAAAATTCTTCAAGGACTCTTCTTTATATACTTTAGGATAAAACCAAACTCCTTGGCATGAGACATACGGGCTTTCATGATAAGATACTGCCTCCTGTACTGGGTTGAGTAATATCCCCCCCAAATTTATGTCCACTCAGAGCCTGTTAAAGTGACCTTATTTGGAAACAAGTTTTTGCAGATGTAATCAAGTTAAGTTGATACTGGATTAGGGTGGACCCCAAATCCAATGACTAATGTCCTTATAAAAGGAGAGAACACACAGAGACAAAGACACACAGAGAAGGCGGCCATGTGAAGATGGAGGCAGAGATTAGAGTGAGGAAGCTACAAACCAAGGGATACCTGGGGCCACCAGAAGCTGAAAGAGGAAAGGAAGCATTCTCCCGTAGAGTCTTCGGAGGGAGTATGGCCCTGATAACACCTTGATTTCTGTGTTAAGAACTGTGAGAGAGTAAATTTCTGTTGTCTTAAGTCACCCAGTTGTGCTACTTTGTTATGGCTGCCCTAGGAAACAAATACGCCTACTACTCCATTTTAATAATACTTAATTTTAATAATACTTAATTACTTGTAGTTCTCCCAAACCTACAAAGCTCTCAAGCTCCTGAGCCTTCGTACATGTTGTATCTTCCACCTGGAACTCCCTTCCCAGATCTGACTGCTTGGAAATTCCTCACCATCCCTTAATTCTCCTCTCAAACACTATTTCTTTTGTGACTCCTCTAGTGAGTTTATGAACACTCTCCTCAAGTCCTACCGTACTCATGACACGTGTCTATCATAGAAATTATCTCAGGGAATTGAAATTATTTGTATTCAAACACATCTTCCCACTAAATTCAAAGTCCTTAAGGACAGGACCTGGGCTTTACTTTTTAATTTCCCAGCATCTAGCAAAGAACCTGGAATGTACACAGGGCTGAATGAATATCTCCAGTTAAGCTGTCTAAAGCACTGCTCTGATTGCATCTCTGCTTAAGAACCTTCTATAGCTCACATTTATTTACAAAATAAAAATGTGAAAACTTCCTAGCTAAACATTTAAGCTCTTTAGTGATCTGGTTCTATCCAGCTAACCCTGATCTATTTCTCATGATAAACCCTTTTATGAGCACTATCTGGGTAGCCTAAATTTCACTATTTCATAAATATACATATGTATTTCATGAAATATATACATATATATATCCCATGCTTTCGTGTACTCATGCCTTATTCCTACAGTTCATTCTGCCTGGAATGTTTTTCCCCCACCATCTCCAAGCATCCATTTTCTTGGATATTTACTTTTAATGAATACCAGCTTCCCTATAAAAGCTTCTTTTATTCCCCTCAACTGGAAGTAGTCTCTCTCTCCTCTAGGTTTCCACCATACTTTATTCATATCTCTATTAGTATTAGAGCTGCTAATGTAATTTTTTCCCCTACTAGTCTGAGTTCTTTGAGAAGCACTGTCTGGTGTGTGGCTTTCTACTGTGCTTGTACATAGTAGACGCTCAATGTACTTGATGGAAAAACGAATGATAATAATGAATAAGTGAATTAATGTATTAACTTAAAACACCCCCCGCCGTAGGACTACCCACATTCTATAAAAGATAAATAGGGAACATTAACAAAGGACCATGAGATTATAGTCTAAATCTCTACAGTACTTAACAAAATCCTCTCTTGGGAAATATTCAGAAGACAATACAGGTCAACTTGTCAGAAGAGCTGCGAAAAAAGTGGGCCAGAGAATAAGGCTGGTGGATGTGCTGAGAGAGCAGATTGGTATCTAAAGCCTATGAAACAGGCACATCTGAAAGGAGAAATATCTGGGCCCAAACTTCTCTCATGATCAGTTACTGCAAAGGTCCACTAACCTGGGGAGGGGACTGGTAGAGGTTAGGATTCACCAGGACTCCCAAAGGCTCTTCAGAAGATCTATCCAGTTTGGTCAGTGGTTGGTTCAAGGTTCCGGTGGCAATGGCCTGTATTGTTTCATCTAGTCTGTGATAACAAACCAAAGGACGCCATAATTGGTAATGTTCTATGCTCAGAATATCCTTACTTACCAACAACATAAAGCCCTTCAACAGTAATAAAATGTGAAATTCAAAGAGGAATTCATGGATGACCTTCCCTGATCCCCCTACCAACTTCCTTTTCTTCACTCCAAGAACCCTGAGGAATATGAGAAAAAGTTCCAGAACACTAAGAAAATAGGTAGGGCACACTACAATCATTCATCTGTTCAACAAGATTATTAAAAATACCAAGATTAGAAAAGTTGCCTAGAAATAGTGTGACCCACAGAAGACTATTCTATTTACTTACCACATTCAACCATCCCTCTGCCCACTCAGGAGTCCCTTTCCACTCCTCCATGCTGATCTGAATTCTATCCTTGCTTCAAGGCCCAGAAGTTCTAAGGAGACCCTCTACTGGCCCAGCACAAGAGTGCTTACTCCTTTCTCTGAAGTCCTGTAGAATCTACTATTTAAACAGTCATCAAATACATCCCATATTATCCTGTGCCTATGGTGTCTACTTTGAATACTTGTCTCTAAACTTATAAAAGAATGTGATGATTTTCAGTTAAAGTTTATGGAACTAGGGGCTGGCCCAGTGGTGCAGTGGTTAAGTTCGCACATTCTGCTTCTCGGCAGCCTGGGGTTCGCCGGTTCGGATCCCGGGTGCGGACATGGCACCGCTTGGCAAAAGCCATGTTTATTTTGGAAAAATAAAAGATTGGTAATATTTTGGAAAAACTGAAAAATACAAATTAATAGACAGAAAATAGAAATTTCTAAAGCCACCACCCAGAAATAACTTTATTTTTTCCTTCATATCTGTGTATCATATATATAATAGGTGAGAACAAACAGTTATTTTCAAGCTAGTGGTAGCATTTCTTTTAGGGAGAGAATAAGCTTTGTTTGGGAAAATTCTATGATGGATTTGCCAGGTATGAAAGAGAATGGCCAAGGACCGGGCCTTGTGGAAAGCATTAGCGTTCACCAACATCCAGTTCTGTGTGTGTGTGTGAGAGAGACTGAGGTGTGTCATCTCCAAAGCAGAAAACAGGGAGTGAGATCTCCATGTGGTTTCTTTTCAGTGGTGTGCTAAAGCCAATATGCATATTTCTTCTTAAGTCTATGTTCAGTGACTTCATGTTGGTAGCTTGAAATCGGCCATGATTGGAACTCTTTTTCAATAGACTTTATTTTTTAGAGCAGGTTTAGGTTCATAGCAAAATTGAATAGAAGGTACAGAGATTTCCCATAAACCTCCTGCCCCGACACATGCATAACCTCCCACATTATCAACCAATCCTCACTAGAGTGATCCATTTGTTAGAATTAATCAAACTACATTGACAAATCATTATCCCCCCAAATCCATACATTAGGGTTCACTCTCTGTGTTGAGGCTGTACCATTTTAATACTCCCATCCACAGTAAGAGAGTATATTCATTTCCCTACACTCACAGATTATGCAATATTTTATATGTATATTTTTAATTTCAGCCAATTTAATGATACATTGTCTTAAAATTTGCATTCTCTGATAACTACTTGAACATAATCTCAAATGTTTATTGGCTTTTTACGTTTCCTCACTTGTAAATTGTCTGTTCTTAACCTTCGCCCATTTTTCTCCTGGATTTTTTTGTCTTTTTCTTTTATTTACAGGAGGTCTTTATTTAGTGTGGATATTGCTCTTTTGATTGTTAAAAACGTTTAAAATATTTTCTCTCAGTCTGGTACTATCTTTTTTACTTTAAAATACCTTATCTTTTTTGTAAGATTGGCACCCGAGTTAACATCTGTTACCAATCTTTTTTTTCTTCTTCTTTTTCTTCTTCTTTTTTCTTCTTCTTCTCCCCAAAGCCCCCCAGTACATAGCTGTATATTCTAGCTGTAGATCCTTCTGGTTATGCTATGTGGGATGCCACCTGAGCATGCCCTGATGAGCGGTGCCATGTCTGCGCCCAGGATCTGAACCAGCAAACCCTGGGCTGCCGAAGCAGAGTGTGCAAACTTAACCACTCAGCCACAGGGCTGGCCCCTCTTATGTCTTTTTAACTTCTGGGTTTTGTTTCCTGCTTAGAAAGAGCTTTATCACACCAAGACTATAACTATATTCTCCTATATTTCTATATTTCTTTCTGATCCTTTTCTTTCTTTCACATTTAATTCTTTAGTCAAACATTATTACAGTATGGTTTGAAGTAGAGATCTAATGCAGATTTTTTCCAAGCTGGTGGCTAATCATCCCATCATATATTTAATCCTTTCCTCACCGTATAGAAATGTTGCCTTTATCAATTACTAAATTCCCACACATATAAACACAAACCCATGCACACATACTCACACAATACAGACGTCTACACAGGTCTCTTTTTGGATTCTATTACATTTCCTTGATCTATTCCTGTGCCCAAACTGTTCTTCATTGTTTTAAAAAGTTTTTTTATAAAAGTAAAGTAATTATCTAGCAGCACAAGTTCCTCTCAAAATTTTCTTAGCTACTCTTACATGTTTCTATTCCAAATGAATATATTATTTTTAAAATCAACAAAAATAACAGCTCTATCAAAGGTGGCAAATCCTTTACAGTCAAACTGCCCCCTTCTTTCAGACCCTTTCCGGTGCTGCCCACTTACTTGCTGTGATACTCGGCTAGTGGATTTTCATCTTCCATGATCTTCCTGCCCGCAAAATCAATGATGATCTTCTTAGAGAGCCGAGAGGCATGTCGAAATTCCCTCAGCTCCTCCTCTCGCTTCTGCAGGGTCTCTCGCTCAATTTTGGACAACCACTGGTTAGAATCACTGGCAAAGTAGTCTGATTCATCATCAATGACTTGAGTCCTTCGAATGCTAAGAAAAAAAGAACATGTGGCAATTAGGTCACCTGTTGACAAACAGGGACTTGATTACTGGGAAACCGTTTCAAGGTAGCTCACTATTCTGCTGTCCTGAAGGCCATTATCTTAAACATGGATGTCCAAAAATGTTCCAAAATCAAGTCAAGCTCTGCCTGGTTCCCAGCTTCTGCATATATCTTATCCCCACTGCAGGCTCAGCTCAGCTCCTAGAACCAATCTCACCCTCAGGCAGGAAAAGGTACAGGACCATAACCCCAACTCCTTTTACCTTTCTTACTACACCAGCCCTCAGCTTCTGATAACTGGTAGCTTCTGATAACCAGCTTCTACCTGGTTTTGCTGCATCTGAGTTCATGTCTTGGCACATTACTCAATATCCTAGTCCCTCTACAATTGGGATCTAGTCTATTCTTGCTAGGCCCAATTTCTGCCCTTTCCCTCAGAAACTGGAGTTCCATTCTGGACTCTCAGACCTGTGGCTTACTCTTAGGACATCCTATTACTCTACTACTATATGTCAGTTTCACCCCCACCCCCAACCCCATCTCCAGCCCCTCACTAATACACTAGGACCAAGTTCCAAGATATGACAATGAGGCCTATTTCTAAGATCATACCAACAAAGAAACTGAGAACTAGAAGGAATCTTGACCCAACTCTCATTCTACAGATAATGAACCTGGGGCTCACAGAAGTTAAGTGACTACTCCAAAGTCACAAACCCAGTTGAGACACGATTTGTGCATAATTACAAATTAGTGATATACATAGGCATAGGCAAATACTGAAATCAGATTCATATATTGATTTCAATTTTTCAGGACTTAGCTAGAATTATAAAAGTTTTTAAAGTAGACTGAGAGTGAGAAGTTCAAGAGGGCTGAGGAGAAAATTGGTCCTAGACATGAACCTAAATAATGAAACTGGTGCCCTTGAACATACCAGCAAAGTGACAACATCAATAGGGATAAACCCTTTTCCAGTTTCTATTTATCAAAAAACGTACTCTAGGGGCCAGGCTGGTGGCGTAGTGGTTAAGTTTGCACGCTCTGCCTCAGCAGCCCAGGGTTTGCGGGTCCAGATCCTGGGCGCAGACCTATGGACCACTCATCAAGCCATGCTGAGAAGGCATCCTACATACAAAATAGAGGAAGACTGGCAACTGATGTTAGCTCAGGGCCAGTCTTCCTTACCAAAAAGAAAGAAAGAAAGAAAGAAATGTACTCTATTTCTAAAGATAAGTTTTTCTGAGTAGGGCTAAAAGTGATAAAGGATTAACCTTGAATCTGAGTTACAAACCTTGTAATAGGCTTACTTAAGGAAAAGCTTTCAAAGTTATATCTCATGTATTCATAGCAAATGGTCTGAAGCAGTAGGGCTGTCTAATCAAAGGATTATACTACCAGGAATAGATTCCCAGGTCAGTTACAATAAGTAAGAGATTCAGGGTCTCTCGAAGGATCCTTACAGATTCTCACATGGCTATTTGAGAATGAGCATAGAAGTCCTATTTAAACATTTTTTACCACTAACTGGTTGTCAATACAGATTTTATCCAAAAGAAGGAAAAATAAAAGAGAAAGAAATAAAAGATAGAGCAAACAAATCCATTAATCTGTCTCCTAAAGAGAAGTCAGTGGGCTAAATGACAAAAGTGTAGGAATATAAAAGCCAATTTAGGGACATTTTAATATACTGATTATTGAATCAGAAAACTAATTTAGTGTCAAAGGGAAGGGAAAGAGTAACTCATGTCTTCCCATGGTATGGGGTTACCTACACTCTCCCAGAGGCAATTTCTTATAGATTCTCCAGAGGTCAGCACAGCAGTTTGCACATGGTAGGCACTCTAATATATGTTGACTAAATGAATGAATGGCTGCAAGTGAAACAAGTGGGAAATTCTATCAACCAAGTCAACTTTCTGGGAGGTATACTAGCATTTGCCAAGAATCAAAAGATGTTGCAGGGTAGAATCCTCTTGGTGGGAGCCTATCATATTCAAACATGGATTCAAAAACAAGATGCAAGCCTCCTATGTAGAGCACCCATCTCCTCTTTTGCTGTAAATTCTTTCATCCTCCATCCTGAGAAGGTATCAAGTGTGAAAATAATGTTTTAAAGGCCAGAATCCGTGGACTAGTCTATTTCCTAGCAATACTTAGTCTAACCACATCATACCTAGTTCTGTCAAACTCTAACAGTTTGTCTTTATGCTTGATGGCCTTCTCCAGACCAGACTTCATTCTCAATTCTTGATGAGGAAGAAGGTCCTTGGGAGAGATGTCCACCTTTCCAGAATTCTCCGTTCCTGAAATCCAATAAGGAAATCAAATGGTGTCAGCTTATGATACAAATTAGTTGTATCACACTATGCAGCAAAGAACAAAGTATCACAAGATCTGGCTCTGTCGCTGATGGCTGACAGCCTTCATCTCAATGGAAAACAAACAAGCACACAGGCAGGGCTTTACTTGTCAAGCATCAAACAGTGCTTGACACATAACAGGTTCTCAATAAATGTTAGGATCCATTTCTTCCCGTATGGAAATCTGGATCACTAAGGGTGTCAAATTGTTTAACAACACAATATAAAAATGCCTTATAAATGAAAAACTTTACTGAGTAGGGCTGAATATCATCTTTAAACATACTTTTATATTCCAAAACTGAAAACTAAATAGTGAAAGAAAAAGAGAAGAAATTGCAGGAAAGGGATAGAAATGAATAATGAGAACTTATTAGATGCTAAGGTACTTTAAACACATATTATATTATTTAATTCTCACAATAACCCTGTAAGACAGTTTATATTATCTTCATTTCACAGATAAAGAAACTGAAGTTCAGAAATTTAAACTTAGGTCTAACTCTAAAGCCCACATTCATTCCTTGGCCCACGTATTACCTCCTTTGTTACAGCATACCATAAATCTCTATGTCCCAGAAAAGACAGCCATAAATTGTGATAAAACCAAGAACTAAAATGTGTTAGGGGGCCGGCCCCGTGGCTGAGTGGTTAAGCTCATGCCCTCTGCTTCGGCGACCCGGGGTTTTGCCAGTCCAGTCCTGGGTGTGGACATGGCACCACTCATCAGGCCATGCTGAGGCGGCATCCCACATGCCACAACTAGAAGGACCCTCAACTAAAAATACACAACTATGTACCGGGGGGCTTTGGGAGAAAAAGGAAAAATAAAATCTTAAAAAATAATAATAAAATGTGTTAGGAAAAGAACTAGGTTACAATGAAGGCTGACCTTTATCTTTACCTAAAACTCCAGGCCTGTTTAAAGTCCTGTCACATCTTTCTTTCAAAATTTAAAAAAAAGGGAGAGAGAGAGAGATTCTTGTGTTCTCAATATAAGAAAAGAACTTAGAACTATGTTTTCTCATAATGACTTTAAAGAAATCCTAATTGAAAAAATATAGAGAGATGTTCAAACTCATTAATGATAAAAAAATTACAACTATAAAAATAAAATTTGAAATGTCAAAACTCAATAGCGACAGGTTTTTAGGGTACAATATTAATATTGTAGATTGGTACAATATTTTGCTAAAGTAAAATGCCAAATACATCTTGAGTATTTGACATCTTAAGTGTCAAAAATGATCATATTGACTCAGTAAATTCATTCTTAGGAATTTATCCCAAGGAAATAAATCAAAAGATATACTGACAAAGGTGACCACTTGCAGGATTGTGAAGAGTCAAAATATCCAGAAACTGGGAAATAGGTAATCAAATTATAATAAAGTTAATAAACTATTTTTAGCCACTAAAAATAAACATGAAAAATATACAGTAACATAGAAACTAATTACAAAATATTAAAAAAGGAAAAAAAAATTCTATACATGTAAACTTCTATACACATTCTATAAAACATAAAACTCTAACTATGATCATTACTTTATAATACCAACCAATCTAGCTATATAAATACAAAAACTATGAACTAAAGTAGAAATAAAATATTTGCCGGCCGGCCCTGTAGCTGAGTGGTTGAGTTCGCATGCTCTGCTTTGGGGGCCCAGGGTTTCGCCCAGCGTTGGGATCCTAGGCGCATACATGGCACCGCTCATCAGGCCATGCTCAGGTAGCGTCCCACATAGCATAACCAGAAGGACCTACAACTGGAATATACAACTAAGTACTGGGGGGCTTTGGGGAGAAGAAGAAAAAAAAAAAGATTGGCAACAGACGTTAGCTCAGATGCCAATCTTTAAAAAAAGAAAAATTGCATAAGTGGAAAGTAATGAGTACACTGTTTATCCTTTTAGTTTGTTTGTTTTGAAACCTTACATCCCACAACCAGTGTATTATAAAGGTGAACCCTGATCCTCCTGATGGGCTTATGGGTAGGCTTTCTGATAGTGGGCACTGGCACCAGGACCTGTAAACTCTTTGCATTCGCAGTTACGGGGATCAGCTACCAACAGGGCCGGATCATACTGGATGAGGATGTCTTTGATGTCCTTCTTGGAAGCCTCATCCACGTATTTCTGGTAACGGGGGCTAGGGCTCTGGAGATGGACTGGAGGATTGCATAAATCTGGGCCATGTGACAAACATCTTTCACACGGACTACGATGTCCACACTGCTAAATCACTCCTTGCCCAGAACAGGTTCCAGGAGCTTGTACTGCAGGGTGCGTAGCTCCATCATCTCCAGGGGCCACCCATTCACCTTGATGAGGCCGTTGCCCTGTTTGCAATGCACTAGGGCTGTGGCCGTCTTCTGTTCAAAGACATGCATGGACTGCAGAGGGCCCTTGGACAGCACGGATGCTGGCGTAGACAAGAGCTCCTTACTGTGTGGCACTGCAACCAGAAAAGGAAGCTGTTCTTCCTTTTAATAATGTCCTGAACTATTTTTATCATGTGTTTTTCAACTATAAAAGACTTATAAAAGAGTTTCAAAAAAAGTAGAGTTCCTGTATAACTTTAATTTCACTTCCCTTAATATCTTATCTTACATATCCATAGTACAATTATCATAAGTAAGAAATTAACATTAGTACAATACTATTAACTAAATTACAGACTTTCTTTAGATTTCAACATTTTTTCCATTAATGTTGTTTCTATGTTCTGGGATCCAATTCAGGATCCTACATCACAGTTTGTCATGTCTCCTTAGTCTCCTTCAATCTGTGACAATTCTTCACTATTTCTTCATCTTTCATGACCTTGCAAATCTATTCTTAAACTTTCACCCAACAATTTAGCATCCATTGGTGGATCCTGCCTGTAGCAGTTACTACTACTATGATGTTCTAATGGTGATTTTCTATTACCCTCATTCCTTCACTTTATTAATTGGAATTCTTCTATAAGAAGCTTCTATAAAGAGCTGTCCCTTCTCCCCTATTTATTAACTTATTCAGTTAATTCAGGATATTAATTTTATTCTTCCTTGGGTTATAATCCAATATGATTATAACTAGTTTTTTTGTTCAATATTATGTGGTTTTAATAACTTAAAAAAAAAATACATGTGGGCCAGCCCCAGTGGCCTAGTGGTTAAGCTCTACGTGCTCCGCTTTGGTGGCCTGGGTTCAGTTCCCAGGCGTATATGTATATCACTTTGTCAGTGGTTGCTGTGTCGGCAGCTCACATACAAAAACAGGAAGATTGGCAACAGATGTGAGCTCAGGCCGAATTTTCCTCAGCAAAAAAAAAATATAAAAAAAATAAAAAATAAATGCTTACAGAATAAATGAGTGAATAAACTGCACCTTGCATACTGGGACACAAGAAAGAGAAACAATCACAGATACAACACAGTGTATCCTCCACTACAATGATCTTAATCAGAAGATTGCTGCCTACCTGACATCAGCTTCTTCAGCAGCTTCTGGCTCTTGTTTGAGTCACGCTGTAAAATATCCCGTTCTTCATGAGTACATACCTATAAAGTAATAAGAGTAAGACACATGATCCAATAGTTAAGTTACATTGTTGGCTTGATATACCTAAAAAGTGACCTCAAATAACACGTTAGATATGGCAAAAAAAAATAATGAGACTGTAGGTGCCTTTTTATCCAAACACTTGCACTAGTTTCTTTCCATTTCTCCCCTCTTTTTACGAACCATACAGAAAACTGATCTCACTGCAAGTGTCCCTGAATGACTTGATACTTTAAAAAGTCTAACCTGCTTTGAAAGGACAAAGATCCACCATCGTTGAGAATACTGGAAAAAATATACAAGACTTTTTTAAAAAAGCCTTCCAGTTCTAACGATGAAATCTAAGTTTTACAAGAGAAATTATAAGCAGATGTCTTATTAGAAGGAACGAGAAAAAGAAGCAAATTACAGTGCCACCAGTGAAAACCAGTCTAGCTTTTACTCTATACATATTTTCTTTGCCTTTGAACATTATCTACTTATAAAATAATAAATATATTAAGCAAAGTTCTGTTTATTATAAAAGCACTGCAATTGTAAGAAGGAAGTCTAAGGGCTTACCCAAAAACAATTTCATACTGAGCTTATAACACTGCAAGACTTCAAGGTCAATTCACTTTACATTACTCTGTGTCTTGAACTGAAGGATCCAAGTGACCTAAGAGAAAACACTGTACTTCCTAGCAGTTGCCTCAGTGGCACACAAAGCACCTGCCAGCAGCTGTAGGGTGTTTCTCTAGAGAAAGTCTCACATGGGAAGACATTTACTGCTGTTTTATAAACATTTTTCATGGTAGATACCACATTTTTCAGGTCATGTATTGTCTATCAGCTTATTCTCTGAGTACACTGAAAAATTAAAGCTCCCATCAGAGAAGGGAAAACAAAGCAATATAAAATAGATGCCTTCACCAACATCAAATGCCATTGCTTCTGCCAGCCAGCTCAACTGGCAGAGTAAGCTTCCTAGACAACTCATAAGGGTGTTTGTAAGAGAGTCATTATTGCTACACTCTTCAGGCCATTCTCTCACATAATGCAGAGCTATAAAAGGAGGTGTCCCAGAAACAGAAGCCATAATGACCTGAGGATTATGTCACAATGGTTCTGTTTCCCTAGAGATATAAGCCACATGCGAAGACTCTGACAAAAAGTTTTTGACATTTCAGGCGCTAAAGTCTCTTGAATTGAAGCTAATCTGATACAAGACTTGGATCCCTCAACAATGTATGTTCTCAAAACTCTTCTCACTAACAAACCTCAGTACCAGGATATAACAGTGTTTGACAAATCGAATTCCTGCTACTAGAATTTACGGGACACTTTAGGGAAGAAATTTACTAAGAAAAAGAGAAATTATTAGGAATGTGAATGTACCTGTGTATTAAACCAAAACATAGTAGAATAAAATAGAAAAGAAACAATTTACCAGAGTACCACAGAATAAGCAGGGGCCTGAACCCTCTTGCTCACAGACAATACGCCCACAGATCAGACAGTTATTGATCAGCTTGTGCTTCTGGCCCAGGCAATCACAAGGGTGGCGACCGGGGATCAGAACTGCAAGCCTGTCCTGTCCCTCTTTTGTGTATAAACTGACAAATTTCGTCTTCTTCTTTAAGGAGTTGCTGTTCTCTTGTGCCTAATAGTACAAAGATATCAGAAATAACATCAAATAATTAATGGCAACAAAAATAATCAAGGAGGGAAAGCCTCAGTTCTGTTCAATAACAACTTATATACTACCCAGGGACCATGAAAGAAGGGAGTGGGAGAGATACAAATTAGTTGTAATCAAGGGTCTGAGGAAAGGTTATGCTCTAGAAAAACCAGCTAATATACCTTCCCTCTTCTGCTACTCACTTTCAACCCTCTACTACAGCTGGTGAAAGGTAAATGTAGCAGTAAAAGATGTTTATGTGACATATTTAAATATAGCTAAATTGGAGATCATAAGAAACAAAAATGCCTCTAAAAGTAGATGATATTCACAGATTTGGAAATATAAACAATGAATAAAATAAGAAAAATCAATAAAAAATTGACTGAATGTGAAAAAGATAGATACAATAGAAAAATGGGCAAAAGACCTAAACAATTTCATAAAAGAAGATATCCAAATGGCCACCAAACATGAAAAGGTGCTTAACTTCACTAATGAAGATAATGCAAAATAAAACCACAATGCAGTATCACGCCACACCAAATAGAATGGCTAAATTGAAAAAGAAAATATGAAGCATTGGCAAGAATACAGAGCAGAGGGCTGGCCCCGTGGCTGAGTGGGTACATTCACACACTCCGCTTCGGCGGCCCAGGGTTTTGCCAGTTTGGATCCTAGGCATTGACCTAGCACCACTCATCAAGCCATGCTGAGGTGGCGTCCCACATAACACAACCAGAAGGACCTACAACTAGAATATACAACTATGTACTGGGGGGCGTGCTTTGGGGAGAAGGACAAAAAAAGAAAGACTGACAACACATGTTAGCTCAGGTGCCAGTCTTTAAAAAAAACAAAACAAAACAGGGGCCTGCCCAGTGGCACAACGGAGGCCTGGGGTTCTCCGGTTCGGATCCCGGGTGCGGACATGGCACTGCTTGGCAAGCCATGCTGTGGTAGGCGTCCCACATATAAAGTAAAGGAAGATGCGCATGGATGTGAGCTCAGGGCCAGTCTTCCTCAGCAAAAAGAGGAGGATTAGCAGCAGATGTTAGCTCAGGGCTAATCTTCCTCAAAAGAAAGAAAGAAAGAATACAGAGCAGTTAGAGGTCTTGTACACTATTGGTGGGAGTGTAAACTGGTATCTACTAAAGCTGAACATATGCACATCCTGTGACCCAGCAATTCAACTCTTGAATATATACTCAACAGAAATGCGTAAATACGTTCACCAGACGACATGTACAAGAATGTTCATTGCAGCATTGGAATTGGAAACTACCCATATGTTCAACAGTAGATTGATGTTTCATTAAACAGAATCCTATGTAGTAATGAGAATGAAAAGGTATAGCTATACAAAACAATATGGATAAATCTCACAAAAGTTAACTGAAAGAAGCCAGACACAAAAGAGTACATATTATTTAGCTCCATTTTTACAAAGTTTGTAAGCAGACAAAACTAATCTATGGTGTTGAAAGTCAAGAACGTGTTTTCCCTTGGGAGAGTTGCCATTTTGGGGCACATTGGGGGTCTTCTAGATGAATGGTGATGCAGTGTTTCTGACTATACAGGTATGGTCAGTTTGTGAAATTTCATCAGTTCACGTCCATATGTATGGTATAAAATAAAAAGTTTAAAAAAAGAACTATATTTATCAGTCTCTGTCTTAGTCCACTCAGGCTGCTATAACAAAACACCACAGACTGGGTAGCTTATAAACAACAGAAATTTATTTCTCACAGTTCTGGAGACTGGAAGTCCAAGATCAGGATGCCAGCATGGTTGAGTGAGGGCCCTTTTCTAGGTCACAGACATGACTTCTAGGTCACTGTATCCTTACATGGTCAAAAGGACTGGGGAGCTCTGTGGAGTCTCTTTTATAAGAACACTAATCCCATCTTTAGGGCTCCACCTTCATGACGTAAGAAACTCCCAAAGGTCCCACTTTCTAATATAATCACATTGGGCATTAGCATTTCAACACATGAATTTTGAGGGGGACACAAACATTTAGACCACAGCAGCCTCTGACACTTAAAAGTGTATAGATGCCTCTCCCACACTGAGTTCTTACTCTCCCGTTAAATTGAGAGTTTCTCAATCATTTCCAGAGACTGAAGTTTCAGAGAAGAAAAATCTCAAGAGTTCTAGTGGATGGGAAAGTTACTACAAGGAAGACAAAAAGTCTTTGGTAAGTATAAAGAGAGGTGACATGCCCTAATGTCCAAAGCCAAAAGTTGAGATATAGAGACAATATCAATATTTTATCCAGCAGGTCACCATTTTTCAAACTATTCAATTATATCTTGGGCTCTCAGGGATGGTAGAGAGGCGAAGATTAAACTCTAAGCAAAAATTTGTATTTGACTCCCATTTACTGCCCCTTTTATTTCTTTCAAGGCAGTTTTCACAATCTACAATTACTTTAAAAAAAACTTCTTTGTCTTTCTACCTTTCCTCTGGACCACTAAAATGTGAACTCTAGACGAGCAAGAAAACCTAATGTGTTTTGCTTATTGCTCTTTCATGATCATTCATAGACATGCACAGAGTGGCAAAAACTTTGAATCACCAAATGCACATATTTCCAGCTAAGGTTGAGCAAGGCAATGATCTGCCTTCTTGTTTCAGCTTTCATACTGTGAACAAATGTCTTTCTTTAGTCTATTTAGTGCCAGTTTTTTGCATTTTTGCGCTTTTTGTTGATGATCTCGCCATTTAAAATGGCCTTCATACATACTGCTGAAGTGCTGTCTAGTGTTCCTAAGCACAAGAAGGCTGCATCTTACATAGAAAATAGATGTATTTGATAAGCTTTCTTCAGACATGAGTTATAGTGCTGTTGGCCGTGAGTTCCATGTTAATGAATCAACAACATATATATATATACATACACACATACACACACACACACATATATATTTTTTTTTGGTGTGGGAGATTAGCCCTGAGCTAATATCTGTGCCAATCTTTCTCTATTTTGTATGTGGTACACCATCACAACATGGCTTGATGAGCAGTGTAGGTCCATGCCCAGAATCCAAACCTGCAAACCCTGGGCCACCGAAGCAGAACACACGAAATTAACCACTACACCACTGGGCCAGCCCAACAACACATATATTAAATAAAGTGTCTTTAAACAGAAATACACATAAAATAAGGTTATGTACTGATTGGTTGATAGAAATGTTGTGACCAGAGGCTTGCAGAAACCTAAACCTGTATTTCCACTAGGAGCAACACTTCGGTATTCACTAATTCAGTATACACTGCGGCTTTAACAAGAAATTACCGCATAGGGGATAAACCATTTTTTCAAACTTATTTTCCAAGTTTGCTTAATGAATACAAAACACTTAAAGACAAAATATAGACTCAGAAACAGGTTGCTGAGGGATAAATTGCTCTTAAAGCATTCAGAGATACAAAATAAAAGTTAAATCATTATTAATTTGAAGATCTTTCCCTACTCATGCCTGAACCATAGCTTTTTTTACCCTATGAAACTTACTTAATAGCAAGCACCAAAACACCTTTCTTCATTAACAGCCATTAATATAAATAGTGAAATACTTTGTCAAGATAAGACTGGCATCTATTGCACTAAGAAGTTAGGTTAGCAGTAGGAATTTCACATAGCCAACGCAGGCTTCTTTAATGTGGATTGGTAAATGAGCAAGTTGACCAAACAGATTAGAGCAAAACAGGATTGAATGAATTAAAAGACTGAAGAATTACAAAAAAGAACTACTTAAATGGATGGCATATATAGACTAAAAAATATTTATCAATAACTTCAAAACATTTAAAAACAGAACTAGAATTTTCAAAATAGAATCTTGAGCAAATCAACTCAAAGGAGAAAACATAGATAATAGTTCCCATGCTGTTTTCAACTTTCTCTAACAACTTTAACATCCACAGATATTAAAAATTAATTTATTAAAAGTTTACTCTTGTATTCTATGCTATTTCATAATTATTTTAAAAATTATGAAATAAGGCTTTAAAAATTTCATCTACTATTTCATCATTCTGATCAGAATATTGTCATATGCTTCCATTCTACTTTCACCTTATTAAGTTTCTATATACTTTCAATCACCACTTATAAAACGTGCATTCACACACATACGTAAAGTACATCTTCTACTTAAAAACAAGTATCTTTACTGATTAAGAGTAATAGAAAAAATGACTCAAAATAACGTTCAGATGGATTACAAATCTAAATGTGAAAATCAAAACTTTTAAACTATTAAGAAAATTTAAGAGAGTATCTTTTTCACTTTGGGGTGGGAAAAATGCATTAAAGCTTAAGCTATAAAACACATAAAACAAAGAAAAAGATCAATATATTTTACTACATCACAATTTAAAATTCCTGTGAATCAAAAGATACCACAAAGGACAAAACAGGGGCCAGTAGATATCTACAACATATTTAACAAAGGTGTAATATACAGAATACTTAAAGAACTCCTATAAATCAATCTGAAAAAAAAAATCAATTCAGTAGAAAAACAAGTCAAGGATATGAATAAGTAGTTCAGAATAACCCAAAAGGCAAAAAAAAATCTCAAAACCAAAAACAAACCAACAAATTCTCCAAAATGATACTCAGTGTCTTTTATAGTATTCCTGGGTATGAAAAGTCAAATGCGATACCATCACTTATACTTAAGATGAGCAAAACTTTAAAAGACTGACAGTACTATGTACTGGCAA